GGACAAAGTGGGAATTTTGCTTGACATAACAAATATTTTGCATTTTGGATGACTGTGGTTTCATGCTATCGGTAAGATCTGGGCAGTGAATTACACCAGATTTTATTTTATGAATGTTTTATGTAGAAGACAGTCATAAGGCATGTGAGTCACTGAAAGCCTCAAACCAGTGTGTTATACCTTTATAAAATCTATTACTTGTGCCATTTTATAGAACACAAATATTCTTAAGTGTCCCCAAAAGTGATTCAGCCCAAGTGTGGTGGAAATAAATAGGTCTAGGATGAAACTAAACTTATTTTCTCAGTGGCTTACCGCTGGAATTGAAGTATAAACTTCTTCATCAGCCAGCATAATAATTCACCCAGGCTTCAGCAGCAGGAGCATTTCTGCATCTCTTTGTGTCAACAGAGGCAAGGGCATTAGCCCTGTTTCGATGCTGTAGGATAAATGGTTCTGACCACTGCACCACAAAGCTAAGCCCTCTTTGCATGCATGAGTTAAGGCTGTAGCTTGACCATTATTTTCCTTTTCAGTGGCAATATCAGATTCAGCAGTTCCCAGCACACTTATTCCCCCTGCACACACTGTTTCTCAGCAACACCAGTGCTCTTCTTTCACCTCATGCCCTGCACTGGCCAGGATTCCCAAACAGACAAGGGACAGAACATAGGTGGAACAACAGGGCTGCTTGCACTGATGCTGCTGCCAACAAGATCAATACCAGCCAGACCTTGACTGGGCTCTGGTCACATGTTTTAATAGCTCAGCAGTGTTCTATTGATGCCAGAAAGAGTATAAAGCTAATATGACAAATTCAATCAACTGTACTTGAAAAAAAAAAAAATCACAACCAAAAAGGCAAAACCATTTTTAACTCTTATGGAAAATGTCTCCTTTACAAAGGGTTCCTTTGGTTCGAGAAAACAAACCATTTGTCACGTATGAGCAAAGTTGGTAGATATTGGATGTAAGAATCTGAGATTTCGAGAGATTTTTCCATGCTTATTCTCTACTTCAGCAGTTCCAGAGAGCAGGGTCATAAAGGTAAATTCCTATGGAACAAAAACTTGGTGACCTTTAACGTGAATTGCCCTAGGGTTCCTAGTCCTTGGAGGAGATACCAAAAGTTGAACTGGAAAATAGCCTTCAGCTGGGAGGCTTGCCAAACCTATGATGAACTACAGAGGAAGGGAGAAAACCACCTGCCCTTGAAACATCACAGTTCACATGCAATCACACTTTTGTCACTGCTAGCAGCTAAATTTTCTGCACAGTTCTTGAGTTTCTGTGATGAGTTCATCCTACACCAGCTTTTGGCTGTACTTTCCTCTCCCCCACTCTCAGAGCACCCATCAGCCCTCAGCACACCTCTTTCCCTCACAATACCAACAAGAGCTACCTACACATCGTCTCGAGAGTCACCAAGCACATTGCAGGCTAAGGCTGATGCACACACAAAATAATTCAGCCCCAGTTATTGGACAGCTGTGAAATGCACAACTCTATGTGGCTCAGACACAACAGTCCCACAAGATATGGGGGAAAACCATGAAGCACACTTACACCTTTTGTCAGGAAGGTTTCTTTCACCAAATCTCCATAGAGGTGATTCATTCCCCCACTATCCCTCCAAAAAAAAAAAAAAAAATTTGTGTTCACCAGCTAAGCCCCAAGACAAAACTTCACATCTCCAGCAAGTACCACATCCAACAGACTACAGCAATCTCATTCCATAGCTGGCACATTCCTGGAGTGCTGAACAAGCCCAGGTTTGCAGAATATTTTGTGGATATATCTCAAGCCTGTAAAACCATCTTCCTAAGTATTGTACCTTCTGTCAAGGAAGTTATGCAGGCTAGGTAGGTTTGTTTGGTCCTGCCAAGAACCTCTGGCAATCCCTCCTTTATTTTGCTGTTGTCTTCTATAAAAAAGGTGACTGTTTTGGGGGTTTTCGGTTTCTTTTTTTTTTTTTGGGAGGAGGAGGGGGTTAAGTGTAAACAGGAATGTTTGGCATGAAAGACTATTTATTCTCATGTGGCTTATGACTTGAGATCAAAGACTCCCATTACAGGCACACAATAATGTTTTTCAGCTTAATGAGAAGCAAAATAAAACCTGGAATTTGAGTTAAATTACAGAATATTTTTTGAAACTGAAGTTAAACATCAAATTTGGGTTTGAAGTCTGCAATTTTAGAGCTGCAAAAGATCAAATAAGCTTTAGTTAAAATGAATTAGAACCCTCAATTTAAGGTCTTTTAGATGGTGCAGAGCTACTTTACTCACTACTTTCATGACAACCGGATGAAAATTTTCACATCAACAAAGGAAGCAGCAAATAACAAGAAAATGCAGTGAAACACACAAGTTACGATAAACAAGAATGAGCATAAAACCAATATGGTTTGGAGGTTAGAATAGACAACACTGCCTTAAAAATTTTTCAGTGCAGGATATACAAATGATTACTGACCTACATGCTAAGTAATAGCAGGTAACAGCCACATCATCATCCTGGAGGAAACAGGCTTGGGAATCAGCCTCTTACCATTTGATAGACACAAGCGCAGCTTCCTCACAACGGGGATGAAGAAGGAGAAGAAGGTCACATCCCCCCATCCAGGTCCTCACTAAGAGACTGAGACTTACAATGCTGAACATGGAGGACTGGTAATGGTGTCCACTAACAGTCTACAGCACAGCAAAGGATGAGCCAGGAGCCACCTAGGAGGGGGAACAGGAGACCACAGCCCCAGAGAAACCTAAGGGAGGAGCAGCACCTCCAGGCTGAAGTGAAATAACCTCCCCTGCCCATGGTGTGGTTGGAGGGTCCAGGTGAGACCAGTCAATGTGCTCGTTAGGCCCATTAATGCTTGTTAGGCATTTCCACAGGTTGTTCTTGAGGCTATGAAAGATGCTGATTACACAGTCATGGCTTACAGTGCCTGAGAAACTCTGTAGAGGTAACTGAGTACAAGACAGCTGAGGGATATGCCTCAAACGTCTAGACCTATTAACTTCTGTAACATTCCCAAGCACCTATACTTATATTCAAACTCATTTGGCAAAACAAGGTCCAAAAGTCTGGAAATGGAATAGGCCAACTTTTAAGAAAGCTTGGAATGAAGCAGATCAGTGATGGTATTTCATGTTTAGAATTTCTTTTTATTGTTTTTGTTTTGGTTTGGTTTTTTTAGGTTGCGCTTTGTCTTTTCTTCATACATATTGTATTTTCAAGCACCATTACCAAAAGTTCCCTCAGCTCTTTCCCTTGCCCTGGCATCGCAACTGCTTTTGAAGAATGATAATTCCAAAGGTCATTCCTGGCCTCAATTATTCTGATTTGAAGTCATTTTTGTACTCAGCTCACAGCACTTTAAAGCAACCAGTTTTCAAAGAGTGAATATTTAGGAAAATTAAAGATTCCTCAGATTTCTTGAGTTGGAGGCACACAAAAGTATTATCTGCATTTGAATGTGCCAGGAAAGAATATTTAACTGCTGTCAATAAAAAAAAATTATGGAGCTTGTTTTCTTGACTCAGAACCTTCAAATTCCATTGGCCTCAAAATAACTCTGCTTTGAAGTTCAGCAAATAAGGTTCTGACTAATTTGATGACCCATAAGAGAACTGTGAACTTAGGTCAAATTATTGACCAACGTATTTTTTCCCAAACAGAACATTAATACAATGGCCATATGCCTAACGTGTACATTCAAACAACAGTAATTTCCCCGAGGAGTTTGCAGCATAGAAATGAGTAATTACATTATGCAATATTTTCAAAACACGCTCCACTCGTTCACGATTAACCACACAGCTATGTGCATGTGCCTATAATTCTGCTCTCTGAACTGTGGTTCTCTCTGGGAACCGCTGTTCTTGCATCACTACTCTTCGCCCATGGCGAGGTGAGAGGAATCTGAGTCATGAGAGGAATTCTGGTCAGGAGCTGGTTTCAGTGCCCTAGTTTTCACCTTGGATTCCACAGTCTTGGAGTTTACCATATGGAAGAGGACAATCCCAAATAAGAAGCCAATTAAGATGCAAGCAACGGCTGCAAAGTCCTCCAAAACTGAGGCCCTAAACCCTGTGCTTAACTTAATCCAGAGCACCTTCCCACTGACAATCTTCCTGTGCACAGCTGCTGCTGCTGCATCATGACAGCAAATTACTCCTGTTCATCAACACCAGCAAGAAACCTCTTATGTTTAATCTTTCAGCATGGCCTTTAAACAGCCATGGTAAGGCACATAAACTCAACAATCAGTGAAATTTGGATACCTACAGTCATTACAGAATTGGAAATCTCTTGGCTTGCTCACAGCACCATTAGGTTCTCAGATTTGTTAGATATTTTACTTCCATCCTCAGGATTTTCAGTAAGACACACAGAGTTGCATATCTCTAGACACATCAGTTTTGAAAACAGGATTTAGTTGCTTCTGACCCATAACTTACTCTACAACCAAACAATGTAGTTGTTTCTTTCTTCCAAGTAATCCAGAAGAATAAATTGGCAGGATTAGTTCATCTGACTTCTACCTGGTGTTTCCCACAAGACACATGCATACATTTTTTGAGGAGATAATAAACTGCAAAAATGCCAGGGTTAATTAAACGCAGGAGTTACTGGGAAAACCTCTGATATTAGGTGCACAATTTACTGTTACGCATAAGTACATCAACCTCAGATAGAAAATGAAAAGTAAAGAAGATTGTAGGTGGGGAAGACTGAAAAAACACTGATACTGAAGCTGTCAAATACCTGGCCTAGGTCACTCCAGAGTCTTGAGCACGTAGGCAGTGAATATGTCGATGTCCTACCAGGCTTTTTGGGCAGGGAACAGTGTGTTTCCCCCACGGGAAATATCAGAAAGCGTGGTGGCATTTTGGAGACACCACCAGGCATGCTAGCAGAGCAAAGCACATGCAGCAAAGATGGAGAACTGAGACATTCTCGAAGCCATGCCTGATCTGAGGAGGGATTTCCACCAGGATTTGCAGGGGGGAGGAAGAAGGAGGGCGCAGAAGTGGGGCCATGGCCATGGCACAGACCTCTGCGTCTGGGATGCCCTTCCAGGATAGACACACGGCTGCAGTTGCAGTGACTCAAAACTGGTGTCTGGCTGGAGCTGCCATGGTGAGAAGGTCTTAACACCTGTGAAGGGCTTAACACCTGTGATGGAGCCAAAGAGCTCAAGAACCACTGGATTTTCAAGGCTTTGCTATGTTAAGTGCAGAGTGATTTGAGAGATGAGGCCATAACAGAGCCTTGACTGCTTTTAACAGTCTGGCTTTTCACACATTTTAGGAAGCCCACCTCAGGACCCCACTGTCACAAGTCCTGGCTTGCCCTTGGCTGCGTACACGTGCTTGGCTGGAGTTAACTCCATTGCACAGACAAACACGGCCCACAGAAACTTCTCAAATCTTTAAAGAGTCCAAGAACAAAACTGAAACTATTGATAGTGATAGTAATCATGGCAGGCAAATAAACAGCCCAATTGTGTGACAAAGCAGCCTTGTCAAGGGAATTAATATTCTGTTCTCATATTTGTATGAAAGCTTTAGGAGGTGAATGTAAACATTGCAACGCATGAGTCCTGCAAGCAGGAATCCATCTGCGTGGTGCTCACAGAAGAACCTCATGATCAGGAAACTGCATTCCCAGGGGATGATATGTACATCTGTTAATGAGGTCTGCAATGGGGAAGGCAAATATTTCAGTTCTTGCCTGGTCTTCCAGCAGCATTCAAGACTGAATTTTGCTGACCACTGTTTTCCCATGTGCTGTATACAAGTCAGAACAGCTGCAATGCTGGAGATTACTGTGTGGAACAGCAGTTTTGTGAAAATTCATCAAGCAAGTTGTAAGCTATCACTTCAGAGCACCGAAACGAGGGCGCTGGCGGTACTACTCAGTCAACACATATGGTGCTTTGCTATGATTTCCATTTCAGAGTGTACTATCACTTATTCTCTGTTTTTCTCACAGCTGCTCACTCCCAGTGTTAGCACTCCCAGAATAGCCTGCTGGCGTATAAATAGGGTTCTCCCTCTCCTGCACATGGCAGTGCTGCAGACTGTACTGCTCTACACTTAATTTTAAGGCAGTGTTAATGCCATTAATACTGTGCCTTCCTGTCCCCAAGAGGCCCAGGCACTGCAGGTTCCTGGAGCTGCTCATTCTTGGGCGTTGGGCAAATGGTAAGCCAAAGAGTTCCATCCCAATTTAATCAGCAGGGAAAGCAATATTAAGGGAAAAAAATCTTAGTAACTAGAAGACCTTACTAACTCAAAGTATCTCACACATCAAGATTCTCTTGAGGTTCAAAATGAACACCCATCAAAGCAGCCCCACCTCTAAAGGAGAAACACTTTCCTCAAAGAAACCCTGGTCTTTGGGCAGCATAGTTCTGCAAAGTCAAGCTTGTGGTATGTAACCACCACACCCTGACTATGTGACCATTTTGGGCATTGTCACATTTCCTAGCCAAGAGGGATGCTCAGCCCTGAACCTGCATCAAGTCAAACTTAGGTTGCTGCAGCCAGGTCCTGTAAAGCATTGCACAGCCTCCCGTGTCGTTCAGCTGGGTACCTGACTCCGATCTGTTGAGACACGGCAAAGAGCAGCAATCACTTCACATCTTGTGCTGACAATAGAGAAGTATTATAGAGTTCAGTTACAGCAGCTAAAAGTACTCCAAAATCTTGATCAAAGATTAGGGTAGAACACAGGGTGCAAAACATTATTATTATCATCATCCACTTTCTAATAGTGAATGTATCACCACCATCATCATTATTATTATTCACATTCTAATAGTGAACACATAAAAGGGATACCAAGAAATATCTAGGCTTCTGCGTTTTTTTCCTCTAGTTGATATATAACTGCTGTTTTCTGTATGTCTCTTGAAGAAGTTTAAAAATTGTGGTATCTCTCAAAGTGATTTTCCATTTTCCGTTTGGCAGATTCCCTGCATGAAGAACAAAGATGAAACAAACAAAAAAAGGTGAACAAATCAATAGATTTTTTTCTCTCTCTGCCCTCCCTTACACAACCACTAGCATCAGGGCATTACTGTAACAAAAATATTTACTTTTTGTATTTTTATGGGCTCTTGAAGTCTGAGTAGTACTCCTAAATGTCACTGTAATAAAAGGCAAATATAAATTAGAGGAGTTTGAACTGTTTTGCTCAATGTATTTTTAACCAGCAATTACCTATTAACCAAAATAATAAATACTTTTTGGTCTCAAACTTCTAGATTTCCAAGCAATAAACCCAACAATTTAAAATAGCTACTTGCATTGTCAGCAGAAGTTAAGACTGGACTTTTTTAAAACTAAAACACTCTGAACCAAGATATTTTAGTGGTCGAGAAATCCTCTAATTTTACACAATAAATGTGTTGTCCAAAAATAATGGGAGAAATGATGGTCAAGTTTCCAACTACTTGGTTAAATTAATAATAACACAAAAATGCTCCCTCTGTTGGTTGATTTTCAAATGGTATTCCAAATATCACAGTAGCATCCATTAAGAGAATATATGTTCTTTGGGAGGAAAAAATCCAAACCCAAACCAAACAAAAACCAAATGAAACAAAAACCCCAACAAAACTCCATAACCCAAATTGAGGCACACAAGAATAATCTGTTCAAATTATTGCTAATATTCAAAATAAAATCAATTACATTTTTAACAGCCATTGAGCCAAATTATTTGGATCCAGAAATAAGTAATATACACACATCAGAACTCTTAAAATTTAAATTTGGAAGGTTTGCAGGCTAATTGTTTCTGGACCAGGAAATGCTTTCTTGCAGTGGAAAGAATACTACTGTTATTCTGTTTTCTTGTGGAGTGAAAAGGCACCACTGTGTGTCATTAAGAAAACAGTTCTCTATTAGCATTGACAACAATAACACTAAGGAGGAATTTGGGAGTTTTGTTTATGCACATTAAATTTCCAACAAGTAGTTCTTTAGGAGCTTGATGGTTTTGTGCAGTGAGGAGCTTTCCTAAACCTAACAGTTTCCATCAAGGAAAAAAATTCTGTTTCCATGGAAACATCCGAGGTGGACCAAGCATGGATTAATCAAAATACAATGATGCCTTTTTGCAAGGTACTAGAAAAAAAAAAATTCAGTTTCAAGTGAGCACTGCTGCTCTTTCCTTCCATTCACACTAGAAAGCATGGGAAATTCTCCCCAAATGTCTCTGTGACATACAGGTTAATTAGCACAATAAAAAGTTAGGTTTTCTTACATTCATAATTAGCATGTCATTGTGAACTAGGAGCTAAGAATATATTAACATGAAAAAAGAAAGAAAGTGAAATAAATAATTTAAAATTACATTTACATTCCTTTTTTTTTTTTTTTTGCTATTGGTTATATCAAGTGACTCTTCTTACATTTAAAAAATTTTAGTAGTTTTCTGCTGTATTCTTAGTACTGCAGGCTCATTGCTTAGTGCTGAAGACTCATTCTGATATTCAAAATCCAAGCTATGGGTTTGGAATAGTTTTGTTGTTGTTGCTACGAGTATACATGATATTATATCATTCTCAGCTACCATCAGAGAATTTTCTGACACCACAATTTAGCTGCGAGTTCTGCCGTTGCCCAGGGATGAACAAAAGACTATGTAAAAGCCAGCCAGCCTTCATCCATGTTCTCACAAAGCAAAAAGAAACACTGCTCCATTTTTATCAGACCACTTCCACTGAAGTGCTTCTTTTGTCAGTTCTTTGCCTTAACAAAATAGGCACCTTTTTTTACGATAGATGAAGTTATTTTCTAATTATTCTATTATCAGGTGTTCAAAAATTCTCTGAAGGTGTAAGAGTGGCACACAATAATTATGATAGAAACCAACAAATGCCAAATGTTTGTAAGCCCTCCATTTGTGCACAGCAACATCAGAGACACAAAATGCACTTCCACTTCTAATCCTACCTCAGAATGAGGCTCCATTCTGAAAAATTGCCAGTAATAGCATTGGCAGGATTCCACTTTTGTGTTTTTCAAAGGTTTGGTAGCAAATACACGTGCAGATTTTGTTTCTCTTTATTTTATTACTTTCCAGCAGGGATCTGAGAATCACGCTGGGTTTTCCATCTCCAACATCACCATTAGTAATAAAGGCTATGTTGGTGAAATTATGATCACAATAATCTGTGTGTAGTCCCTCTGTTATTAAGAGATTTGCTCAGATGTTCCTTGGCGAAGAAGTCCCTGATTGACAAGTGGCACACGTGGACACCTTGGTGCACGAGGAGGACACGCCCTACAGGCTCCCGCAGCTTTAAATGAAGGAGAAAGCACCAAATGCTTCATTTCTGTCATGCAGGCAGGCAGATATGACTCTGAACACATAACAGCTTGGTTTGTGCAGTCACACACCGCAGCAGCACATCCTGAGAAACAGGTGACAGTCAGTCAGTTATTACTTACTTTGGAGAAAAGTCCATAACGTGGTAGGCGCTGGCTGGTCAGGTGAGCTGTGTGGTTGCTTTCAGAGCAGTTTAGGGGCAGGCACACCTCACTTTGCAGCCGTGGTATGGTCAGAGGGCACACGGGGCACTGCAGGAGACCAGGAGTGGGAGGATTTGCCCAGCACAAGTTCAGGTGAGTCTTTGCAAGGGCACAGGCATGCCGAGTGGCACAGATGTCCACGCCAAGGTGCCAGCTATGGAAGCTAGGGACATATGGAAACACAGTTTCCACTGTGGTGAAAACATGGCCACAGGGAGGCATTAACTCTTAAAGGACTGCTGAGAGCCTGGCACAGTTCTGTTGTTGGAGGCTGCCCTTCAAACCCAGCTGTCACACTGGTCTGGAGGAGTAAGAGCACCACTGGCACGGCAGCACCAGCACAGGTGGCTGGAGAGAGGATCAAGCCACAAGGCAAACACAAGCCATGTGGCTGAGCAGCATGGGATCCACGTGGATCTGTGTACGCTGAGTGACACAGGGGCTGGGAAGCATAAGGAAAAGTTTTGGATGCCAGGTGGAAGCAGGTTTGGGAGGTTTCCTGGTGCCCCCTTTAGACACTGCCTCCAAGAGCTTGCAGCCTCTTGCCCTTGGCTCTGCCTGCTCCATGCCATATGCCTACACCAGTCCACCTCCCTCAGCAGCTGTTCCCTCTTCCACCAGCCTTTTCCCTTCTCTGTAGGGGCGCACTGAGCCTTCGGGGCTACAGCTGCACCAGTGAGGTGGAGGGGCTGAGTTCTTCATAGAAGTGACTTTTTTTCTGGCCTTTTTCAACATAAACATGCCTAAAATAGCAAAATCATTTAGCAGGTGCAAGGAAAGCCCATAGGTCCTTTTTGCCCCACACCCCCCCACCAGCTCAGCTGATGCAGGCACCAGACAGGCCTGTGTCAGCAGGGAAAAGTTAGCTGAAACCACAGTGTTAGGCTCACCAAACCAGCACTTCCTAGCCTGATTTCTTTTCCACCAGGAAATACTGAATTGTGCTGGTGTAAATATCCCTCCAAAACAAAATCCTCCCTATGATGGAGTATCTTCCAGCAAAAATGAAATATAAAGGGGCTAAAGAAGTGACTTTCTCCTTGCTACCCACGACATTACCTCACAGGCTAATACAAGACCTTTTTCTTAATACAGACACAACTTTTCTCCATATTTAATGCCTAAAACACAGGCTTCTTTGTAACGCTACATCTTATATGCCCGAAGCTCAGGGATGGGGATGTACCGCCTACCTCACTTGGGTGACAAGGGACATCTAGCGGCATTGCAGCTCCCAGCATCACTGCCACTGCTCGGGCTGCAGGGACAGCAGACACAGCCACCTCACCTGTCCCCATGGCATGCCCCATGCCTGGGAAAACCCATGGGTGGTACAGGGAGTGACAGCTCTCTGCCTTCTCCAGCCTCTCATCCCACCTTTGTGCGCACTCTCTCCTTTGAGTCTGCTCAGTCCTGCTCCACCATTAAGTTTCCTTAATAATACAATAATATATTATACATATAACAATATATTTTCAGTAAGAGGCTAGCTATCTCAGTGGCAAAGGCTGCCATGGATAGGAAAGCATGTAGCCTGCTCCCTTTATTCAGAGAAACATACAGTTTAGGAGGAATGCCTGTCTGTGTGAAAGTAAAATAAATCAGTGCACGGTTAGAACAAGACTCTTGAAAATTGCAACCACGTGTCCTGGCAAAATTTTCATTTTGTTTAATTAAAAGAAATAATAAATAATGGCATGATATCCAGCTTAATTATTCACATCACTGATAAAAATTCAACACACTGTCATTAGAAACAGAGCAGTACATACTGAAAGAGGGTGGCTTTAGATTAGGTATAAGGAAGAAATTCTCTAGTGTGAAGGTGGTGAGGCACTGGTTGCCCTGGGAAGTTGTGGATGCCCCATTCCTGGAAGTGTTTATGATGGATGGGGCTTTAAGCAACCTGGTCTACTGGAAGGTGTCTCTGTTCATAGCAGGAGGGTTTGAATTATAGGTGATCTTTAAGGTCCTTTCTAACCCCAAACCTGTGATTTATGATACTGAAGAAATCAGTTGCACAGGATGCCAGTTTCTTTCACAAGAAATATTTTGTTTCATGGCTTGAAAAACTGACTCAGATTGTCCCCTAATTGCTCCAGTTTCCCACTGCTGACATTTAGCATAACACCTGACTGGCATGGGACCCACTATGTAAGTAGAACTGTGCTTGCACACAGTTTATCCTCTCCTGAGTGGAGTGTGGTAGCCCTCTGGTCCCCAACGGTGCCCAGAGCCACCCTGGGGCTCCCAGCTGTGGCTACAATGACAGACTGCCTGAGGGCTACATTTTCAACCTGAGGTTTCAGTTCCACAGGAGGAGTTTTGATGTTCCTGTCTTTCAAGGTAGCATCAAAATACTGCTGGGGTTTTTTTGTTGGTTTTTTGTTGTTGTTGTTGTTTGTTGGTTTTTTGTTTGTTTTGGGTTTTTTGGGGGGGTGTTTTTTGTTTGTTTTTCTCCTTTCTGCCTCATTTAGATTTCCCTATGAAGACATTGGGTGGAAAAACAAAACACCACATAAATGAAAGAGTAACAGAGGGCTAGAAGCAGTACTGTGGTAGTGGCAAAGTTCTCCAGCTTCAGTTTAAGAGACCTCACATGGCTGTGGTTCACCTGTGCCTCAGCCTGGGCTTGTCACATATGTTAGAGAATAGCTGATTTATTAGTTTTCCTCTTGTTTTCTGTTCCAAAAGCTACATAGAACATTTGTGGTTGGGAGGAAGTAAAAAATGGCCTTTTGGGAGATGCCAGAAACACACAGAAGCCCTGACTCATGAAATTCACTTTCAGTTTGTTTGGCTGCCTGTCTTTTCCTGTCCCTACCCTTTCTTTTCTCTGCAAACTTCCCCTGATCATCTCTCCCCATTTTATTGGTTTTTTGCTTTACCCATTTACCATCTTTCCCCTTTCTCTGCAAAGCCCTTTCTCTGTAAACCCCTCTCAATTTCTTTTTTTTAATACTTTTTTTCCCCCAGTTTCCTACTCCCCATACATGTGTCCTCTCTACTACCACCTCCTGCAAACACTGTGATCCCTAGATTAAGACCACAGGCCAAAAAGGAAAGGAGACAGAGAAAATACAGAGCCTTATAGAGCAAAAAAATAACGAGAGCACCTTTTCCCAGGAAACATTTAAAGAAACAGGCCTGTCTTTCCCATTTGATATTCTTCTTGGTGGAAAAACAAACAAATAAACAAACAAATGAAAAACAATTCAAACAAACTATTTTTCTATTAAAGCATTTCACTGAAATTAAAACAAAATGACACTTCCATGTACACCTGCGTATTGTCTTCTTTTTCTTACCCTCCCCATTTTCTTTCCCTTTTTCCCTGAACAAAACCAGTATGTAGTACCCTGTGCAGAAATACATAAATCACCAGTTCATTTTCCCCAGACCTCATTGTGGCTATAACACATATGAGTATCTCAAATTTGTACATGGCAAATTGCTGCCACAACTGAACGATTAAAATCTTCCAGGGAGCATATGACACCTTTCATGGCCCTTCCACTGCTCAGAGAAGAAACTTTCTCCTCCAGAAACATTCTCCTCTCTCTGAGCAGCCAGGCCTGGGAGATCAGGAGAGACACAGGGTTTTAAAACATCATTAACAATTAGTTTTGAAATGAATGTGAGAAATGCCCAAGGGAAGGCAATCGGCCCAGGCTCACCTGTGCTCAGTAGAATATTATTGTGCTTTGGAAACAAGGACCACCAAACCGAGGTATTACCGTGAAGTACCCAAACCATCAGCAAAGGGATGCTTTGTTTTAAGTAGCGGTGATCCTAAAATTAAGCGCAGAGGACCAATTCCACCTGCAGGCACGGCCGGTTCCTGGCAGGTTTGGCTCAGCAGCCAGCAGTTGGCACTGTTGTTCCACGGGAGAAAGGATGGTCAGCGCCAGCCAGGGATGCAGCAGCAGCAGCTGAGTGCAAGCCCAGGGACGGGTCTTTTGAGCATCACTTGTAAACACAGTCATGATACACGCACTGCCTGTACCTGAGCACACCCACTCTTCATACACACTCTGTCCAGTCACGTCACGAGGAAGGAGAAAATATTTGCATCACTCATACAAATACCACGCCTGCTTGGACCCTACGAGTGCAAATCTAGTCTGTCTGGCAAGACAGGTGGAAAACAGAGTGATGTGCTGCAGAAGAGCTGGGAAATTCAAATTGATTTGCCACATGTCACAAACTGGCAAATGACAAAATCCTTCACAAAAGCAACAAGATCATTCCAAACTCACTCCAAGAATATCTAGAAAAGGGAAGCTTTCTTCCGAACAAGAGGGACTCTTCTCTCCTTCAGTGGTTTGGGGTTTGCTGCGCAGCCCAAAGTAGTGATAGTTGGTGTAGATGAGCAAAGCAAGGCCAGAAGAAGGGATATCACAATGGAAAGGCAGGCCCTGCAGAACACGCTGATACACAGGAAGAGGCATTTGTTGATTTTTCCCATCACAGACCCCTTCAGTACTTCACAAGCCTTGGAAAAGTCAGAGCACAGCAAAAGGAAAACTCAGATCCTTTTTTTTTTTTACAACTACCTTACCTGCTCCTCACTCAAAAAAAAAAAAACAAACAAAACAAAAGACAGTTAAAACTACTTACACTTGTGTAGTAAGGGCAGGGAGAATCTCACTGGGAAAAAACTACTGCCTCCACACGCAGCCCTTCTCCTCTTGGACCTTCGTAGTACGTGTCTTGGCAAAAATGTTAAGTAAGGAAGAATATGTAAGAATTAAATAGGAACAAGTTAAATTTAAATAAAAGATAATCAGTGGGAAACATCTGGGCAGGAACTCTGAAAAAGAAAACAAAACAGAACAAACCCACCACACCTGATTGTGAATCTATGGAAAAGGAAACTAGTACCTCAGTACATCACATGGGGGAATTTATCAATCTCTAAGCACAGGAGCGTGAAAGTTTGTCTGAAGTTTGAAGTTTGTCTGTAGGTGTTTGAGCTTTGCCTGTGCTGCTGCTCAGCACCAGAGCTATTTCATCGTGAAGGGATGCTCTGTAATTAAGGTAATAACTTGCTTTGAACACACAGAAGATAGAAGGATGGAGAAAAGTCTGGGCTAAATAAATTAGGTGGTTAAAGGTGAGAGATTGTTACAGAACGTCTTTCTGTTGGTCATTGGCTTGAGGAGTGGAAAAAGACCTCATGATATGAGAAAAAGAAAGGAAAAGAAAAGAAGAGTTACTGAGAAGTAGCAAAGAAACATTAAAAAAAATTAATTCTGGGATTTGGAAAAGTAAACTGGCCAAGGAGCTAGAGCAGAAGTTTCCCAGTGCATTAAAAAAAACCCATCCAAAAACAAGAGACAGCTTTGTCTAAAAATGTGCCACAAGAAAAACATGACAACAGCAGCAGCAAAACCCTTTCCTACTGTGATTGCAGCAGCAGCAATTCCAGAGCACATCGGGGAGGGGGGCATGTATACACTGCATTTGGTTTAATAGCCTGAAAAATAAGTAATTAGTTCCTTTACATTGAGAAAACTATGCATTTCTCAGACTGGGAAGAAAGAGAAGGCAGTTTAACACTGCATTACCAAGTCTGCCTGTTGCAATGGTCCTCATAAGGGAGGAGCAGCCTTTTTGGAGCTGCACCTGAGTTTCTCTAGCTGTTATTGGCACACTCTCAAAGATAATTTTGCCAAAGAGCTGTCTTTCCATGAGCACATTCCCTCAGACCAAGCTTACCACCAACCACATAATGCCAAGGAAATTTTTAGTAAATCCTACAAGAGAATAGGATGATATTAGTGAACCTCTTTTAATCTGCCTTCAGTGTTTATTTAGCGCATTGCCTTGCATGGATATCTATAGTTACATGCATTCTCCTTTGTCACAGCAATATATAAGCATGTGGATAAAGGGGATAGAGTGTTGTATCTTTTAGTTTTACCCCACTCTAAGTCCCCAATTATTGTCCAAGGGGAGATGAAATATGACTGCGAAAATCAGTGCACTGTATTGAGAAATCAGCAACTGGCTTTTGAAGGTCTGTGTCATACAGCAGGGGCTCACTGCATTGTCTAAGTCATGAATGTCTTACATATTCTGTAAATTCACATAAAAAATCAAATTACAAATTTAAATTATTTTTTATTGTGGTCTGGGGTCTCCACTTGCAGAAACAGAGGTAATGTAAAACCCATCCAGGCTATTTCAGGAAGACAACATCAGTTCTACACCAGTTATACCCATTCTGCATTTGGAAGCCCCACCACCATCACAGGGTTTGCCACACAGAGACTAAAAGCCGAGCCTTGCCTGTGTCCAGTAATTCAATTTGGCAGTTTCTTTCACAAGGGAAATTTGACACAAGACACCTTTAATCTCACTGCTGCCTCTGCCCATCACTTTCAAGGAAGCTGCAGCAACAGTAGGAAAACTAGATGCCTCTAGTTAAAGGGAAATCTGGATTTTAAAATACCACCACTAGACGTCCCCTTAGCTCTAGGCAACCAAGCCGAGGTGCTTCGGTAGCCCTGATGGCTTCTTCCAGCCACCCTGTGCAACACCAGCAGCCAGGGAAGGAGCAAGGACTCTCCAGGGGCTCTACCTACCACCTCATGGGTTTTAGACCATGTTAGCTGCACCCATGATTTATGTGCTACTGTCATACCCCGTGCTTGCCAAGCAGAAACATACCTTAAGTGTTAGTGGTTGGCTGAGAAGAATGGGGCCATTCAGGCCTGGTTGCAGCCTGTCTTCGCCTTTCTGACTGCCTGAGGAAAGCCACTGAGGTGGATCTGCACCAATTCTGATCCCAGCAGGTCTAGAAATTTCCTCTGATACCCTAATGAAGAAGTAGAGGTTCAACGGGTGTAAGGCAAAGCAGCTGTCAAGGGAGCCAGTCTACACTCTCTGCGAATGGTCCTTACCTTTCAGAAGAGAAAATCTTACATTCCCCACATCCTGCCTGTGACATGAGGTTAGTTAAAATATGTTTAGGAGGCATGACCTGGCCTGTAGCCCGGCTGTCTGACCACAGTAACCACACTCTTTCCTTATAAACAGGACACTGTTGCTTCTGGGTATCCGTGATTTGCCAGTTCAGCTTTATTCACCTCACTAGAATGATTTTTGTTGTTGTTGTTGTTGTTAATGAATTTTCCAAAATCAAAGCAATGGCTGTGAAATGCTTCAAAATCACTGCTTTTCCTGCAGCTTTGGTGAAACATGGAAAAATCAGCTGTTGCACAGCCACTTGAAGTGGGTTGTTTAGCTGCTTGAGAAAGTTCACAAGGAAACTTCTCTGAGAGATGTGGTCACCTCCTGAGACTGACACTCACACCTTATGTCATAGCTCACAAGAATGAGATCATCATCACTCTAAGCATTTCAAGCTGGGATAGAAGGACCAATTGAGAGCTAAGTTCCTGTCTATCAGAGTGTCAAGAGAATAGTGTAAATGACCCAAGGGAGAATTTTCTTTCTGGTCCCCAGTTAAAACCACAACAACTAACCTCCTCCCTAATAATTTTTGCTCCTTGTTAATATAAATTTGATAACCTCTCTGCCAATAGGGAGTATTGTGAATAACTCATCAAGTGAATTACTTGGACATGGTTGCAAATATTTCACTAATAATCACCACAAGATTGCCTGCTGTCTTGCTGTGCTCAGGTGTTTCACTATTGACTCTGGTACACACCTGTAACTGTCACTCTAATCAGAAGGTGGCTCCAGAATCACTCCTGTTCCTGAGGATGGCAGACAGCAAGCATATACCAAGAAAACACAATCTCTTTGTAACACACCTTCTCATATTCCTTTCACAGTATCCAAGCCTTGCCACACATTAAATACTATCAGTCAGGACACATGTAGGTGCTTTAAATCTGTACAGGAATGCTAAGAGTGGAGTTTTCTGTCTTTCAATCAAGTCCCTGCTCAGCCAGAACGGCCCCTAAGTTGCCTTCTGAGATATAAGTTGGCTTTCTTCTGTGTTCTCTCAGAAATGCAAACATTCTATGTTAAAGCAGGCAGATCATATGTGACATATACACACTGGAGTTTTTGGGGGGTTAGGAAAAGAAGTAAATGTTTAAATCAGAGGAATAGAGGTTCAGGTGAGGTGTAAGGGCCTGTTTTCCAGCATTAGGAATGATGAAATAGTAGAGTGGAACACTTGGGGATGGTGTGGGACCTTGAACACTGGACATCCTTGAGGACAGGTCATGAAAACAGCCCCAACAGACATTTGCCTGAAGCTGACTCTTCTTCTGAACATGTCCCCAGCCCCATCACCTGTCTGTGGTACCCCAGTAACACAGTGCAAACAGTCTTCTCCTCCGATTTAAAACGAGATATACTCCTCTGGGTACTATTACAGTAGCAGTTACAGAAGATGCAGAAACTCTTTCTCTTTCAGACACCAGCTGGGGTTATTTTACAGGGACAACCTTCCAATCAAAAAAAGAGGCAGAGCTAAACCCTTTCTTTGCCAACTCCACCCTCTGTAAGTATATGCCAATCTTCCTTTGGACTTTGTCCGTGAATTTGAAAGGTAACCAGAAAGCATCAGATAAGAAACTGGACACATCAAAATAGTCAAACAAAACCTGAAGGACTTTGACAATAAACACTCATGGAGTAAAGACACTTTCACACAGATTCCTTACTTTAGCATGTAGGAAGACCTACAGCAGGAATTTCATTTAGGGGAGCAAAATACGACATTGAGATCTTTATAGCAATCCCTAGCTACTCTCTCTGGTACTTTTTGTCCCCCACACAGATCACAAGCTCACAGAGGTGCCATCTTTTGGGCACCATACAAACATGGCACAAGCACGGGAACACCCTGAATAGTAACGTAATACAAACAGAGATAAGGGAAGAGGAACAGCAGTGAACAAATGCAATGCACTCTGATTACCAGAAAAATCCTGGCTTGCTTCCTAGAGAAGCTGCGGTGGCAGAAGCTCTGGTGGCACCTGAATCAAAGAGGCCTCCTGGAGCAGAGGACAACACAGTGTTAGCCAAAATACTTTGGGGCTAAACAAATCAAATAAGCACATCATCACCATGACAAAGCAAAAGATATCCATAGAAGGACAACTAAAAGATTCAGTGTACTCACGCCACGCTAAAAGGTCACTTAAGCAAACTAAACCTGAAACAGTTCAGCTGGTTTAGCTTTTTAGATAGTTTATAGAGCAATATTGTACCAGCACAGCAAAGCCAGCTCAGGACATGGGAGTCACCTCAGCTCTGTCCCCTCACCAGAATACCTCTGCTGGCAGAAGCTGGGTGGGAGATGTGGTGCTGCTGGTGGAAGCAGGTTCAGGTGCCTTAGCCTGTGCCCCTTGGAGGTGATGCAGCTTTGATGGCATAATAGGCCCTCAGCATGGCAGCAGCCCACAGCCATTTACACCAGGTTCTTTCAACAGACTCAAATGCACTCCTAAATCAGTCTGAAACTATGGCCTCCTCCGCATTCACTCCTAAACTTAATAAAGTTTTTGTCAGATTCATCCTTTCTCTCCCTCTCTCAATCACATCCTCGCATGCAGACACACTAAAAAGATAGGCAATTCACTGTTCAGTGTAATTTCATGAGTTCCTCTTTTTAATGACACTCCCCAGACCTGCTACCTCTTCTTAAGGTTAAAATACAGACTTTCACTCTGGTCATTTCAGAAAGCGTAGAGTTTTGCCTTGCTTCCAGCTTAGCAAATTAACTGAATTTGCAAATCCCAGCTACATTCACAGTTGTAGCACTAACACAGGGAAAATGGCACCTCAGCTGGAAAGTCTTTCAGCTCCTGATGTCTGAGAGTAAACTTTCTTGGACCCATGAAAGCAATTATTTTTTTGTTTGAACAGAACTCCCTCCTACTACTTTGATACCAGGCTGCTCTCACTGTTCAAGTATGCAAATCTGACCAAACCATCAAAATAAATGTTAAAAATCTCCCTGGGAATAAAAGTACTGTTTGTACAAACTTTCACATCCTTCTCCCACCTTCCAAGCAAAGGCTACTCTAGCAGCTGGTAGGATGAGGCTCTCCCAGTGAGGTGGGAGCGGAAGCACGACAGCTTATCCTTATGCACTGTCTTCAGTGTTTTGCTGAGTTAGGAAAGGACAGGACACCAAACACATTCCATGGCACTCTGCCAAGCTGGGGCCCAAAGGGTAAACAGAAAGTAATATGCAGGATGCAAAAGCGTCTTTAAATAAAAAAAAAAGAAGAAAGGGGCACCAGGTGGTCACTGAAATGATCCAGAACAGAGGAATGTGAGCGAACATTTCAAGTTCTGCTCTTAACACCTTATTAAACATATAAGGATCTGTGTCTTAGGAGCAGGCTGTTCTGGGAGAGCCATGTCAGGCTGAGATTTTGCAAATAATCCATCTCCTCCCCAGTCACCGGTGAAGTCACCACCTCAGCGCCCAAGTGTCCCTCTCCTTCCAGCACTACAGTTAAGCATAATCACCCCAACCATTTTTTTTTCCTGATTAAACTGACTTCCAGTGCCATTACACTAAATCACCACAAGCAGGTTTTGTTCATTTGCTTTTCAACTGCGGGCTCACATAACACAGCGTGCAAACCCTAACGAAGGGCATTTGTACGCCAGTGAGGGTCGATACCACAGTTTAACAGAGAGCAGCTTTGTAAAGGGAGAAGAAGGCTACTGCAGTGTGCTCTAGGGCTTTTACTTCCTATGGCCAGCGCCGGATCTCTGTTCCGTGTTAATGAACAGCTGCTGTTCATTCAGCCATCGAGGTGGTCCGCTGGGACGGGCCGCTGTGGGACGATTCGGAGGGGACACGCCGCACGTAAAGTCCCCCTGCCTATCTGAACGCTTGGCATGAACAACGCTGGCAGAGCCGTCCGTGCATACCCCAGAACTCGGGAAGTCACACAGCATCATTTAGGTTTCACGCTCGTTGGTTCAAAGGCAGAGTGGGCAAGAAAAGGGCTCTGCTGCTCAGAGAAATAAGCTCTCTTAGAGCCAAGAGCTGGCCGTTACAAAAGCTGTGTTCCTTCAACCGGGTATTCCAGAAGAGCTTTGGGGCTGTGATGAGGCCTTCTCATCTGGTGGGACACATGAGAAGGCACTCTCCCATAAAGCCTAATAATGTTCCAGTGATTTTCATTCAGTCTCAAGAGATGCTTATTTTTTTGTTGAGGAGGAGGTGTGAAAATGGTGCATTAATTTCAGTCTGCTCTTACTTGTTTTTCCTAAGCTAAAATAACTCAAAAGTATATTATTAAAAAAAAACCACACAAAAATAAACAAACAACAACAACAAAAAAACACCAAAGCCACACAGCAACAACAACAAAAACCCACAAAACACACCTTCATGCTGAAATAAGAGTCCAGGCACTTGCACTAGTTTACTGGAAACCTGCTTAAACACCCAGCTTTAATTAAAAGGGTGAAGCTCTTTTTTTTTTTACAGAAGCCTTGAGAGAGAGCCTTGCCCAGGAAAGGTGATGGGGACAGGGGGTGAAGGCCAGCCCAAAGAAAATGTGGCCATGTGACCACAGAACATTTTTGTGCTATCCTTTCATTCCTAGCTAGCTGTCCATCCTATCTGGGAACCTGGCTACCTCCCTAAACACATGTGAAGAGTGAGCCATGCTCCCAGCCTGTGTGCTGCAGCTTCACTGGCCTCACAACAGCCTCAGTCAACCTCCCCTTATCTTTATTCTCTCTCCCTCGAAAAAATCAAATAAACCCCCCTGAGCCTCTCCAAAGCCAGTTGCCAAGCAGAAACAAAGCAGAAACCTGAAACATAAACATTGCCACTAGATTATTTACAGGCAAATACATACA